CCGTAGTCCATAAAACCCTCATCCTATATTAAAATTCTGGAGCTTCCATTTACAATAGGTATTTTTAAACTATTTTGTGTACATAGATTTTAATCAAGTATGTAGTGCCTAAGGCATTTGACTACTAACCAGAAGTCTGGTGGTTCAAACCCACCAGCCCCTCCTCGGAAGGAAAGTTGGGCAATCTACTTCCGTAGTGATATTGCCTCAGAAACCCAAGGAGGGGTCGCTATGAGTCCGAGGCAACTGACAGCAGTATACAACAACATGTTTAGACAGAAAACAGTGACTTTATTTTACAAAGCAAATGAAAACCATTTTAAATGAATATATTCAACTTAAAAAGAACTCTCTGAAATTTGCAAATCTTCACCTAATTCTGGGGGAAGAGGGAATTGATTTATCCCAAGACTTGAATAAAGCATGCAGAAATGGATCATTAGTTAAACTAGTATCTTTTGGCTTGCCCTTGAAATATTAGGGTAAAGAAGTATAAAACTTTTTCTGAACATGAGATGTTTATACAGCACTTCCCACAATGTGATAGCAACAATCATCACTACCTAATAGCAAGCCAGGGACAAACAAATTCCAATGTCCTCAGAATTCTTTGAAGAAACGTGTTCTTCTGACAAGAGGCGAAGTCAGAAACTGGCAGAAAGACCAGAAAATTCCTTTCCATCTTCTGTGTTCACAGGCAGTACTCCAGCTGTCAGAATGCAAACCAAGTATGAGGATGTTCATCCAAGTTGGTAGGCTCACTAGCCTCCCCATTTAACATCCAGAAAGCAAATGTGAGTTTGGGTTACATGAGTATTCTTAATACATCAAATAACTCATTTTTGTGAAGGTTGCCTCAAATTAACAGACAAATTTATAAAACGTTAATAAATCTTCCTATCTCCTCAAAAAAAAAAAATCTGTTTGGGACTAGATTAAGATGTTCTTTAGATAAAGATAAACTACATTTTTTCCTAAGAAAAGTGAGACAGACATTCTTAATATTTATTGGCTCTGTCCAATAGATCTCACTGTTATGATAGAAATGTTCTATGTCTGCGATGTCAATACAGTAACCACTAGCCACCTGTGGTCACTGAGCACTTGAAATGTGGCTGGTGCAAATGAAGAGCTGAATTTTTAATTTTATCTTAATTAACTTAAATTTAAATAGTCACATTTGGCTAGTGGCTATCGTATAAGGCAGTGTAGGTTAGATAATCAACTTAAGTCCTCAGCAACAAAGTTGAGTAATTGATTTTTCTTAGACTGAATGTCACAATTTGAAAAACCAGCATTCTTCACTAATATTTAATATTCAGCTTACTAATTAATATCTAAGGCTAAAAAGGGTTCATCAGAAGTGATTTTTCAACAAAGTTTAGACAACTTTTATTCTAAAACATGAACATAATAGGTTTACTTAGTGGAATTCCTTCGGCAACGTTCAATTTTCCATCTGTGAAACTTAGGCATACAGAAAGTGAAAAGCCAAAACAAAACTGATCCATCTTCCTCTTGACACAAAGGGAAGAAATGAAACATGTAACTCATAAAAGGCTAGTATAATCCTAGATTCTTTCTGGGTACAATTTACTCACCAACCCATTTATGTTTGCTTCCTTGAACCCAGCTGTGGTTTTTAACAAAATCCATGCCTACATTTGTTTGATCTCTTTGACTATTCTGTTATGATTAGGCCTAAGGGAAAAACACTTAAAGCATATACACTAAAAAATTCTACGTCTACTCCTCACTTATTGACATGGTTCAGTTTCAAAGACCAGGCTGTTATGTGAAAATCTGTGTTATGCAAACATAGGTGATGACCACACCATCTCACTCCCTCACCTGTACTGTCAACATCCCACTGAGCCCCTGCTGAGGTCACTTGCCACGCTGACTCCCCCTCTCCCACATCCTCAGGAGAGCTCAGCTCCCACCACTGCCAGCAGGACAGGGCTGCCCAGTCGCCCAAGCACGGCCTCCCTCCCCATCCGTAGGGTCTTTTCCCTCTCCTACCCTCACCGTATTTTCAGGATGAGAGGCCCTGGCTCATCCCCTCAATGACCCCAAAACGCCCTTAGTGGCTTTCCCCAGGGCAAAGGGCTCAGTGTCCACAGGCAGGAGGGCCTGGGTGCTACAGTGGGCAGTACACACTGGCTGCTTGGTCCCCTCTGCCAGCCTCTCAGCCGAGCATCCCCTGGTTCTCACTGAGTGTCCCTGATCCTCCCAGCCTCCATGTTCCCCATGAGAACTGACAATTCACAGGTTCCTCCAAGGTTGTGAGGACCAGGCCCAAACTCTGCCCTTGACCTTAAACTATAGTGCTACTGGCCACTCACCCATTGACCCCACCCCCACCTAGGTAACCTGCCCTGCTCTCACCTATGCCTGCCAAGGAAGGCACTGAGGATGCATAAGAGGCTGAACAGGTGCCAATCAGCTGACATGGGATACCACAGGCCCTGGGTACCAAAGTGCCCTATCTCAGGGCTCCTTCTGACCATGGCCCAGCCCATCCCTGTTGTGCCTTGGGGCTGGGAGCTGGGGCCAAACCCAGGATCCCGCTTCTTCCCTGACCATGAGGGCAGCCCTTTTTCAGGACACTGGCAGCCACAGACCTGGCCTCAGCCCCCTGTGGATATCCAGACCTACCAGGCAGCATCCCACCCCAACCAGGCCAACTCCAGCCCCTCCTCCACTAGCACCCCAAAGGCCCTGTCTCCTGTCCTCTCCCAGGCAGTAAAATAATATGCTGCTCAGGAACCCTGGCAGAACTTCAGTATTCATTACTGCCAGATATGTGTCATTAATACATAAGATACCAGATTTTTTTACTACTGCCATAAATAGGAAATGTTGGATAATAAGAGTCGATAAGTGAAGATTAGGTGTATACTTAAACAAGACACGCTGGTCAAATTGACAAAATGCAGTAGCCTAAAGAAGAGCAGATGCTTCAGAAAGACTAGAATACGCAGCAGATCATGCCAAGACCACTTTCAAGCAGGTGGCAGAAGAAACTGCACAATTCTACAGTCAGCAATGAAGAGACACCACAAGAAAATATACTCAAAAATACACTGCAGCTATGCCATGGCCATAGGACAATTAACATTAACCTCAAGCAGCACCACTGAACTCCTTATAATGTCAAGGTCAATGCCAAACTCATTTTTTTTTTTTTGGCTTCCCATCATACTAACACCAATAAGTAACTATACCACACACATAAGCACAAACATTTCAATAATTTCATTGTGTTTAAGCAGAATAAACTTCTAGAGCCTACATGTGCATATATACGTGTGTGTGTGTGTGTGTGTGTGTACATACATATATTGTTGTTGTTGTTATATGCCGTGGAGTCGGACCCAACTCATAGCGACCCCTCCTTGGGTTTCCGAGGCAGTATCACTACGGAAGTAGATTGCCCAACCTTCCTTCCGAGGAGTGGCTGGTGGGTTTGCTACCAGAGCTCATACATATGTGTGTGTGTGTATGTGTGTATATTTGTACAAGCTCATTTAAAATAAGCAAACTGAAACATATTATAAAACACAAAGCCAGCCAGTGCCCCAAAACATATTTGAGGAAGCTCAAACTATACCCAGCAAAACAATTCTAAGAAAACAATACTGTTCAGGTGAGAATTCAGAACCACAGACCAGAATTTCTTTTTTTTTTTTTTCCTCCACCACGGCTACTGCTACCACCATGTCCTAAAAAAGGACTAGAAGCTCACCTACTTACTGTATCCAACAAGCAATGGGATTTTGACAAGACACATGACAAGCAGACAATATACACTATCCCAGGGGCTTCAGCTCTTGGAGAATAAGAAATGGCATTGCCAGAAGGAGAAAAGCCTTCATCTGGAGCAACTGAGAGCACTCTGACATAGCAAGAGTCTGTCAGACTCCATGAAAGCTGTGTGCTGTCAGTCCTTTTCTCGTGTGTATGGATAAAATCTGCAGATGCAGCCTGGGCAGAAAAGAGGGAGATAAAGAATTTTAAATGGGGAACTGCCCTGCTGTTCAACCCAGAGAGTACTTCCTCACTCTTCCAGGCCATAAACTACAGATCCTACTGACCACAGTATCTGCAGCAGGGATCTCTAAGGAGCCTGCCAATTAGACAATTCTACCATAAAAGCTTCCTACTAAGGTTAGTGTTAAAACCTCAATGTTTTTTTTCATTATCCTAAGTGGGGGGAGAGTCCAATAAATGTAATACAGAATATAGAATTTTCACAGCAAAGATACAAGTTCTCAAAGCACATAATTTTATAACCAGAAAATAAACACTACTTCTCATTTAGTTCTGCAAAAGTCCACTACAAAGCAGCATCGCTCCTCTTTCCCAAAATCCAATTTAAAAGCAGAAATAGAAACCTATCTAAATGCACTCCAAAGATAAGTTAGCTTAATACAGATAAACTTAATCTTTTCTATTTAATATGCTAAGATAGATTTTTTAAGATGAAATAAAGATTTCAGTAAACAAAAGAAAAATACGTAACAGGAAAAGGCCATTTTTTTTTGTTTGATTTACATTGTTGTTAACACAATACACTATATTAAGTGAAAAATTTTATTAAACTACCAAATATGGCTGAGTTGTTTCTCTAAATTCCTAATATTTATAGGCTAAATATTTTACTTCTTCATTTTTATAAGTTCTCAGGCTCTATATAACTCATTCCTGTCTCTAAGAGAGCTTTTGCAAACTAGTTTTAATAAATGTCAGTCACGTTCAAAATATATTATTTATGGGATTTACCAATATATAATTATGAAATTACACTTCAGAAAACAAACCTCTTAATAAATTGGGATGTGAAGAATAACTCAGTAGAATTATGTTCTATTTATTTTTTTCAATAGTCAAAGCATAAAGCTTCTTCAACCCAAAGTGCAATATACAGTTAATCATGGCTCCTGACTTAAGCATAACATTTTTTCATGTGCATTCAACAAAAGTGCTCTCATTCTTACCTGTATATCCAGCATACCATCCCCAAGAAGCCACAACTCCTATAAGCCATTTATACATGACTCCTTCAATATACCAAAACCGCTTACTGTCCAGTACTCGAAGAGGTTGAAGTATGATGACATACAAGACGTAGGATGGAAGAGCAAACACGTTGTTGGCGACCATTAAGGCAAACCTCATCAAGGCTTTCACCAGAATCCAGCCCAGCCACGGAGCTTCTTCCAAAGTCACAGCCATTCTCACATTGGAGTCCGTCCTGTTTTTCTGGAGTGAAAGGAAAATTCATTTACAATGGAAAACGGATTAAGCACATGTAAATTGTCACTCCAAAAGAAATCGCCTCCAGCTTAAAAATAAAAAGCGAGGGTCTGAGCTTTCCTGGTGTAGTACCTCCGTGATCTCTCTGGGAAATTCCAGAGGGGGACAGAGAGCGAGGGAGGAGGAGCCGCACAAGGTCAAGGGAGCTGTTCACAGAAGCACAGGGTATGTCATAATATATTTAGCAAAGGATAATACAATTCCACTAACTAATCGGTGCCCGGCCCCGCACAGCATCTCATGGCAGTTGTCTGTGTGGACTTTAAAGAAGAAAAATTGACCCACTGGTTTCAGGCACCCTCAGAATCTCCAAACTGCCTCCTCGTGTGAAGACTGAACCATGGACCTCTAGAACAGCTTTCCCAAATACTGAGAACCTCGCAATCCTCACCACCCCCACTCCTGCACATTGATTCATTCCTTAGCAAGGTCTCTCGCATTAGCAAAATGAGTTACGCTGAAAATTTTCATTTGCGACAAAAGGATTAGTTTTCCTTTTTAGGAAAAAAAAAAGAAAGGGGCCTATAAAAAAGAGCATAAAGGTGAGAGGAAAAAGTGGGGGTAATACGGCAAAAAAAAAAAAAAGAGGAAGGACAGGAGTAGGGGGAGGGGAGCGAAAGCCTGGAGGGAAGGGGAAAGGGGCCAGGGATGTGCAGAATAAGATCTCCCACCAGAGAACAGGGAAGCGAGGAATGATGAAAGAAACAGGGAAAACAGCAGAGAACAGCGCTAAGGGGGCGGGTGGAGCCCGCAGCGGTTTACGCGGATGTGGAAGGGGTCGGGGCGGCAGGCGCGGCCCGCG